TTACGAATCGAACATTTTTGGTCCGACGAGTGCATGGTGCAAGTCCCAGTGTCGCGCTTCGTGCATGTTCGCGGACTTCGACGCCGAAGTTTCGTGCTTGCTTGGTCGGTGGTGTCACGACTACAAATCCAAGCCGTACAAACGAGCTTTCGACGATCGAAAGCAAATCAGATTGCCAACCTTTGATCGGAAATATAATCAACGGAAGAGGCAAGCGCCCGCCGTCACACAGACGGCGATCCATGTTGAATTAGGAATCTCACAACGTCAGCCCATTTTTGTGCACCGCTAGACAGATGTTGCGTACCGAGATTGCTCACGAGCAAGTAAAGGGACTTGAGGGAAGCTACGGAGTGTCTTCGTTGCTCTGCTAAAACACTGGGATGCACCGAGCCAGCTAGGCGCTTGAGGGATGCGTCTCGTTCTCATCCTCTGTTTTTCCATCAAAGCACTTGCAGGTCTCTCAACCGCTTCAAATCTGCGCAAACTGTGGGCCAATAGAATCCCTCTCACCAGAGGCTAACATAAGGCGGCAATCAAAAATTGACGAAAAGTAAAATCTAAAAACAGGATACAGATGTCATAAACACGAGGAGAACGTCCTGGCGTAGTCAACTCGTTGATGGTTGTTGCTAACGATAACAATCTTCCTGCAGGTGTTAGTCAGCCCGGAAAAGATGCAACACTTCCAGGTTGCCGTTGATTGCTTGACTAAGGCGCGCGGCGACGCAGACGTCGTTCGCTGCTGGCACGGGTCGACCGTCAACAACATTGAGAAGATCGCGCAGCACGGCTTCGGGATCTTCAGTTACGCAGAGAATGGAAGACTGTATGGAAACGGCGTCTATTTGGGAGCCTCTGTCGCTGTACGTCAGTGCCTTCCAAACCTGAGGGTTCAAGACCTTTGACTTCAGGTAGAAGAATGCGGCATCATTCAGAACTGATGACTTTCGAGCCTTGAGTTCTGTCGCTTCTAGGTTGCACTGCTTCACGTGTTGAAAGGGAGGAGAGTCCAAGTTGTTTGGTGTCATCTTGCGTACAATTGTGCCGCAAAGCATGAAATCTACGTTTCTTGTGTCCAGGTAAGCAACGACTACGCCAAACCGGACGCAAAGGGGACTCGCCACATGCTGCTGTGCAAAGCTGCACTTGGAAAGCTGGTGAGGTCGTTCTTCAACAGAATCTTTGAGAGTCTACTGCGGATATTGCTCACGAGAAATCACGAGTCAAAGTGCTCATCTTCTGTGTTTCTTGTAGCTTTGGCGGTGAAAGGTCATGTGCGCCCTGCTGAGGGACTAGAATCAATCGGAATACAGATGCACCGGTCTGTCGTGCTCATAACTTGGTTCCGTCCAGGCAGAGGAACCGAGCAATTGTTTCTCCGCCGCTTGAGCATGTTACCTGAGGATTGCGTTGATTTGATCAGAAGGCCATACATCATTTGAAATTTTTGAGCGCTTTGAGTTCCTAATGCGGGCGGTGTCAGAAAGGAGGACCAGGACAAGTACGATTGCAACTCGCCAATTCCGGCACAAGCTGAAGCGGTGGATCTGCAAACAGTAGTTGTTCTTAGCGAGTGAGCTCAAGCTAAGTCTTAGTCCTTCGTTGCCTTGACCTCCTTTGACAATTGTACCTGGTTGAAAGAGTGTGTCCTTTCGTCTCCACATTCGTCTGCTCGTAGACGTGGGCAATAATATGGACAATGTCGTGGCTCTTTCCGAAAGAAAGAACGGCAAATTTTGAGCTCGTCTCTATCCGTCCTTTACTCCTGAAACCCCCGCACACCCTCCTCTTCCGCTTCCTTAGCAAGAATTTTCAGAGAAATCATGGAGGCAGCCACTCAGAACCTCCCAAAAGCAGGTTTTGTCACTACAGCCTTTAACCAAGTATTCTTACCATGAACGCTCCATATCTGGCAGGAGACGTCCATCCATACGATGACGCAGCCGAGTAGCGGTCGCTACGACAGCGGCACTGACAACATCTTCGCTCCACGACTCTAAGTACGTGGTGTACTCCATGAACCTTCCACGCGTGTTGCCAGAAGCGGTAATCAGTTATAGAGTGACGTGAGTCAAAAGACAGTCAGTCTTAAAGGACAAGCCGCTTTAGTACGGTAGAAAATGGCGTGGGCACAACTGCAATCGGGATCGCGGTCGTGCCCTGAGCGCGCTGGCTTTCCGGTTGGCAAATGATCATGCCAACCATTCACACGGATGTAAGGACGTGCCAGTCTTCTTCGTAGGTTTGATTGCAGACAAATCCGGTATGTAGTATTGGCGTTAGCGTTAGGATAACACGCAGAGATTTCCAGTATTGTCGGTTGCTGCCATACATACAGATTTCGTAGATGTCGGAGAGCTTGGTGCATGTTAGAATCTTTGACCTGCTTGATTGGAGAGTTCGAAACTGCTTCAGTTCTCCTAGCTCGATGGATCAACGCGCGGGGCGTTCGAGTCCGATCGAAACGTGACCGTATGTCAAGGATGCGTGCAAATTTGAAGATAGGTATGGTGCAAGTCGGAAGGTGTCTTCCCGATCTGCGGCCACATATTACTGTCATCTGCTTTCAATTCGTCTCTTCAAATAACGGAGAAAGATGCGCCCGGCCGGCCCGGTGCCGGGGCCGCCGCCCCCCGGGGGCGTTCCGCGTCCAAGTCTGTCGGCGCCCGCCAACGCGCGGCCTAGAAGTCGAGGGTTCATGCAAGGTTTTGGGACAATTCGGGTGCCAGCAGCCAGGCGTGTCGACTGCCCGCGCGCGGTGCGCGGTCGGGCCATCGTGACGCGGCAGACATTGATCGAACGGCCCCCGGGCGAATCAGGCCGGCGCGCGTGCATGCGCAGTGCATCCTTCAAGGTGACGCAAGTACTTGACTCATTCTCAACACGTGATGTCGCGCCGCAGCTCGCTTCAAGCAGCTGGGAAGAGCGAACGACGTCGACGAAGCAGATATAGTTCTCCGCTCTTGTCTGATTTGTTAAGCTTCGACGAAGCGTCGAAAGTTGGAAATTATCATCTTGAAAGTGCTGAGCTATTGCTTCTTGGAAACCCGCTGACGCCAGCCTCGCAAGCAAGTATCTTGTTCAGCTCTCGATACCGACGCTCAATAGATTACTATACTGCTGTGCCGTCTGGAATAATTGCTGACGGAGACAACCTTCCAGATCTATGCACCTCATTTGTGCTTGTTCCAGTCCCCTCGAGCCGAGAGAGTCCGCGAATGAGCTCCTCCCTTCAACAACGTCCTTGTAAAATGCACCCAAGTTACATGCGCGAAGCAATGCCATCGCTTTCTGCTGTCACTGCTTTGCTTCGCCTGCGGCAGTCCTATGTAGGACCCGGCATAGTCACACTAAAGCTCGAAACATTCCAAAGATATGCAAGCAGCAGTAATTGCAGTTCCGGATGGAAGGAAACGTTTATTGCGCAATGCAATGTTGAGGAGATGCTGAGAGGGTTTGAACGCTAGAGGAAGCGCCAGAGACCAAAGCTGCGTTGATTCCCAAGGGACTTCTGAACCCTGCACCTCCCCAGCAAAGAGCTCATCAGAAGTAAATACGTACCACCATCTTGTCATCCATGGCTGATCCGAGACACACTGCTGGGACTCTTCCCAAGCTGCTGGCTCTGCAATCGGTGCAGAGAGGAGACCAGCCCTTTCTGTTGCTGCCCAAGGTAAGGATTACAACCAGGTTTCCGGGGTTGGCTTAATCGTTTTTGAGCTGCCACTTACTCTTCCAAGAGATGAACGCTTACAGATTTCATCCACAGATTCACTGCAGGGAACTCTGTTTTATCAGGCAGGTTGCTGCTGAAAGCGGATTGAGCACTCAGACTCTCAGGTTTAGACTTTGCTTTGCCTTCTGCTGACTATTTTTTACGAACTGCTTTTGCAGACCCCAGGCGATGAATATCCAAAGGACCAGAGAGCAGACGGCCCGGAACGGTACCACACGGTCACATTCAGCCAGTATCAGCAAATGACTTTTCAGGTAAATTATTTGAGCAAGGCTTCATAGGCAATCTGCAGAAGTTGCTCAATTGAGGAGAAGTTGCTTATGTTTTGGAGAGCAGCTTGCAGGAGCAAGCCCTGACAAGTGGAAATAAGTTTGCCTTCGATCCACTTCTTGCTTCGGTTTTTTTCTGAGACGCACGTGCACTAGTACCAATGCCCCTGCTGAAGCCCCCCCTCGAACACATGTTTTTGACTCATCGCTTCGGTTGACTCATCTACTCTGCTCACGTGGAAGTACCCCTCGATCCTGCACGTGCCCTCACCTTAATCTTCACAGGCGTTGAACCATGCTAAACTCGTTTTTCGCTGTCCACCCCTTCTAGTTACCTGCCGGCCCCTGATGAAACGACTGTGGCACTGTTTATGTTTTCATTGAAACGATTCAACATAATGGAGAACCTTCTGCTCAACTTAATCTTTTGTTGCTTTGCTACATGGCCTGTCTTTTTCCACCGCAGGCTCGGGCCCAATTGGTCCAGGTGGCAACTTCGTCGGACGGCAGATGCCGCGTCAGCAGGGGCGCCCGCGTAGCCATCCTGGCGAGCAACTCCCCAGAGTACATTGTGGCCTCGTTTGCAGCGTGGCTGCAGGGGGCGGTCACCGTCCTCCTCTCGACGCGCGTCGGAGACGAGGCGCTGCAGGTGCGCTAAAGCGGCCTTCATTCGTTTTTTCTGCTTTTCATTATTTCAGTGTTTCTGAGATTTCCAAGTAGGGGCTTAGGGTTCACGGTTCCGGTATTCTCAGAAATTTGGCACGCTTTCAGGGCTTTGTCATGCGGTCTTATGTCGGTGTGATATCATG